ACAAAGTGATTAGTGCTTCTTTCACAGAAGTTTCAAAGTTTTGGTGGTTGCAATGCAGCATCCTCACTGGAACCAAACAGATGTTATTGCAAGAGAGACCACTATTTAAACAAAGACGTTTGCTCTTCCTCTCTTCGTGATGCTACCTTATCACAGTCCAAGTGTTTTATAGCAGCACACTGAAATTATGTGTGATAAACAAGGATGTTCAAGATATATTCTAAGAATTATAAAGCAAATACTTCCTTTCTCTGTAAACAGTATGACTGAATCCACTTCTTGAAGAAATCAAGCTATATTTATATTCACCCTCTTGAAATGCTACAGGCAGCCATAGAAGGCTAAGTTTATAATAAATTCCTATATTTGGAAACCTTGTTGCTAAGCATCTTCTAACATTCAGTACAGTTTATACCATTCATGTCCCTGCTACCTAATTGACATTTCATATGTTTAAAAAAAATAAAAGTGCAGTGCTTATCTTTGCCATTAAATCAAAACTATTACATTTCTTAGGAAATTAATAAAAAGACTGTGTGGCAAATTAATTAAAGCAGAAGCAACAAGATCTCAGGGACATACAAACACTGGCAATATGAACAAGGATGTGGCAGAGTCTTTCTTCTAGACACCACCTCTGCTTGAGATAAAACAATTCAGAAGACAGCTCTTCACACTAAAAGATAGTCTACTGAGTAACTTAGGACACAGTAGACCTCTCCCAGTTTTAAGAATATGACTCCTAGCTGCACACATAGCTAAGCCCTTGTCAAGAATTCTGTGCATGTGAATCCCTCAGAGGACACCCAAGTCCTCAAGAGTCTACCACAAGGAGCCTGTTGCAAGGTGAGGTCCACATGTCCAGCACCCATCAAAGTACTTGCAGGTTTTCCATACTATGCTGCTAACCTACATGAATGTATGCAGTTAATTGTGGAAATGGCAAGTATATTGCTAGGCAGTAGAGGGTCACAGAAATCCCAATTTCTCCAACACAGTCACTACAGATAATGTAACACTGGACAGAGATGAGGTACACTGATTCTGAAAGCACTGCACCTAAGTTAGTGATACTTGCCATGTTAGAAATACCAGGTTTACATTTAATTCTGCTGGAAGGACCATAGTTATTTATAAACCAGACAAATAATACTTCCTCAACATGTGAGAGGGAATACAAGCACTCTGCACAGCAATTCGGGCTGAGATAGATACATTTACAGAGCTGATGCCTGTCACCCTGATGTCAACTCTTGCAACAATACTGTAAGCTTCATGATACCTAGCGTTCTTCCTATGAAGTCAAAGTTTTGCAATTTCATTTTGTGAGAAACCAGAATTGTATCCTTAGTAGAGGAAAAGGCAGCATTGGAAAACAAATTCCCTCATATTTTAAAAATTCAGCAGATAAATAAAAACCACTCTTAACTGATTATTATATCTGTCTATATATAAATATTTCACAAATGTTTGGTCATAATACCCTGTTTGGAAAAGCTCAGAGCACACTGCATAGACTCTCCAGGTTTCTTGTCCACCTCTCCTTTCCTTGCCCATTCCAGCATACATAACACTGCAAGTCTGTACACACGATATACACAGAGGCCTAGAAACACTCAGTGAAAGCAGAACATTAAAAGCTCCTAAAACTTCTTAATGACTTCCATGAAAATGTACAGAGTTGCTGAACAGGAAAGAAAACTTGCCTGTCTGACCCCAGAAGTACCACCAACCAGTTCCTGCACTGGAGAACAAATAACTTCTGCCAAGAAAACAGTTGGAGTATGTTTAACTCTACAATAGCTATTTACTTTTCACATCTTCAGAGTTATACAGAAGACAAACATCAAAGATTTTATAATGAAGTAGCTTAGAAAACCTAACTATAGATGCAAAAGTGAAATAAAAGTGAAATGTTTGCCTATCACAGACCTACAATTACTACATGTGTTACATTAATTACCATTGCAAACCCTGGGCTTACATAAGCAGTATACACACAGTACGTGCCCTAAAGACCAGAGTTGAAACATCAGATAAGGAAGGATGAGTCCTTTGGAAATGATCTAAACTTAGTATTAAGAATATAAACATATTTTAACATTTAAACATAGCCTGTAAACTTTTAGGCTTTCTAGCCACAACTCAAGTACCTACAGATATAAATGGGTTAATCAGGACTCTTGGGTGAGATGGTTTAGTGTGAGGTATCCCTGCCCATAGCAGTGGGTTGGAACTAGATGATCTTAAGGTCCTTTCCAACCTTAACTATTCTATGATTCTACGATTCTATGACTCAAGTCTCCCAAAGACCACTGCTGCAATACAATTAGCGAGCAACAATAACCTTGTACCCAAAACTGAACTTGTGTTTCCGAGTTCAGAATTCCTGCTTCTAAATTAGTTTTCATGTTTCACCTGTACTTACACACCCATCATCTGCAGAAGTGGCGAGAGCAACCTTAAAATTTGTAAAAGAACTCTTAACACAGCTATTGCATGAACATTAAGCATTTTCATTATTTCAAAGTGTGCACCAGCAGTCAACTATATGTTTGTATCACGGTTTATGTTGCAATATATACGAAATACAAGGTTCAGTTCTGAGCCCTACATTAGCAAAAGATTATTGACAAACTGGAGGGAGTTCAGAGAAAACGAACATGATTTCTCAGAAGGCAGGAAGGACTTATTTATGAGAAAAGATTAAAACAGCTAAATATTTATAGCTTGGCTCAGTAATGAATTAGGAGGTAGAGGACATGAGAACAGCCTAGAGATGTCCAAAGGGTGTAAACACTAAGGAGGGAGAGTGAACGGGTTATACAAGGATGTAAATAGAAATAATGGAATAAAACTAAACAAGGAAAACTTCGGCTGAGTATCAGAGAGCATTCCTGGACAACAAGCTATCTTGGCCCACAGTTCAGTTTCTTAAGTGAAGCAACAGAAGCCCATTGCTTGGAACAACAAACAAGACTAGACAAAACACTGCAAAATTTTCTATATGAAATAACCTTGCTCTGCTGATGAGAAATATTATTACTTATCATTATGAGGTAACATTATTATCTCATAAAAGCTAGTCTTTTCTAAGTTTAGCTTCAGTGAAAGCACTAATATTTTACAGGGTGTTGAAAACTTAATATAAAAATTGGTACTCAAGAGCTTCATCAGAAAAAACAGAATCCAACTGAGATTGTTCTTTAACAATGAGCAACTTAAATTCAGTTTATGACATACTTTGACAAAATCATGCTTCTGCAACTCTTTGAAAAATACATGTGGGGTACAAAGAGTTAACTGCGCTGGACTGTATTGTCCCCATCAGAGGTCAGCCCAAGTTAACAAACGACAAGGAAATTTTAACAGCATTCAAGAACAAAGATCAATAGAAAGGAGACATCCTCCTTCTCCCATTCCCAGTATTAGCTCTGGCTACAAAGCTCTCGGATAGTCCTGCAATCAGTCACAGGTAGATGCCAGAAGTTTTGACTCTAGATAGGAGGTAATGTTCAATTTGCACAACATTCAAAATTTCTTTCTAAAAGGCCCTCATTAAGTGTATAAATATCACTGATTTGCAGCTGGATTATGAAGTGTCCAGAATCTATGTGCACAAGGAAAGTCCAGGCTGGGTCATGTTTGGAATTGAAACCACAACACTTCTCACTGAAAGTTTTAGATTAATTAAGTGTTTACTATGTGATGACTGTGAGACAGGCAGACTGAGAGGCTTCCAAAAACAGAGAAAGGAAAGTAAAAAGGGAGTTTATCTTTTTCATGTTGTTGTTTGTATATATTTGTTTTAAAATGAATGTTTGCTAACTTAGAGCTTAAAACACAACTGAGGCCAACTGAAGCACACTATAAAATGAATAGTCTGTGTCCATACGTATTTTTTTCTTCTTGATCCACACAAAAGTCCATAAATTCATATTTGAGAACTATCCCTTAAAAATTCAGGAAACTGGCAAGTAAAAACCTTGCTGTTCCAAGTGCCATCACCCTTAATAAAACTTCTGTAATCTTCATAGTTAATTCTGATGCGAGAATTAACTGTGCACTGTGTCACTGCCAGAGGAAGCTGTCCCAGTGCCAAAGGAAATAAAAGTAACTAGCACATACAGCAAACATACTCACAAACTACAAGGGGGAAAACACACATAAGCCGAGCTGAAGAGTCATATTTTGATTAGACTGTTTTAAAAGGCTGCTTATGGTCCAACACTTAAACCGTGTAGACGCATTCTAGCAAAATGTAAGAATTGATGCTTTTAATATTTCATCCAAGGAAAACAGAAGTGAACTTAAGTATTCCCTGGAACATACTGAACCCTGGCTGTATAATGTGTGGATAATTCTCCAGGCTATGCCTGTGCTGGAGGCCAGAGGCACTTCCCAGGCCCCAGCACTGGCCGTGCTCTCTAGTTCTCCCAGTTCCATGGCACAACTTGATCCAGGTGCACAAGGTCTCCTCACTCATGTTACAAGCTCCGCATCTGTAGGCAAATGAAATACAGGCACAAAAGAAAGGAGCCACAGTAAACACCACTCAGGCCCACAGTCTCCTGGGAACAAGGATCTGTAGGACAACCTGTCCAGCCTGAGTGACTTAGGTTTTTTGTATGGAAGGGGCAGGATCTAGAGTAGAAAAACTCTCTGGGATATATCAGGTACCTCACTAAACCGTTGGTTTACTGAAAGGCAGCTAGCTCTCTAATACAGTAGAATTGGCACAGAGGACTCCCCAGTGTTACTTATCTTGACATTCACTTTTCAAATCTATTAATACTCAAAGGCTTTTTTATTTCTGATGTGCCCAGGAGCAGACTGATGTTCCTTGCGCTCCATGCTTGGCTATATTTTCTTTGACACAAAAATTAAATTTCATTGGTTTAAAAGCTATTAGTACAGACTGTGGAATTTTTTAAACAAAATAAAGAGATTAACAATAAAGTAAGAAAGTAAGATCCTAAATAAGATGCATGAAGTCTTACCTGCTTCCTTGCACAAGGCTGCTAAGTCTGCACCCACATAACCATGTGCGCTATCAGCTAGTTGTGCCAACTCTGCTGCTGTGAGTGAATGGGGGACTTTCTTGAGAAGCTTTTGGAGTATGTCCAGACGGTCTTGGGCATTAGGGACTCCAATTTCAATCTCTTTATCAAAACGCCCAGGTCTGCGCAGTGCTGCATCCAGTGCATGAGGACGGTTAGTGGCCCCAAGTACCAAGAGCTGTCCTTCACTGCCCTCCTGAAGGCATCAAACAATGCAAAATATTAATTTTAAAATACAATCAAATGATACACAGCTTATAAAAATACTTCTTGCTTAATTTTCCCAAATATGACACACACCAAAATCCTGAGATCCTATAGAGGAAGAAAGCGAACATTTCAGAATATATAGCCCACAAATGATCCCATCCAACCTATCCTTAATTGCAATTTAGCAATACTGTAGGCTGCACATACCGATAATACAAGAGAATCTTTCCTCCAAGATGCCCTCATTCTAGTGTCTCCCATTTTAATCCCCAAGTGCTTACTTTTCCATCTTGCTTTACATCTCAGGGAAGTAAGCACCAAGGAAAGAAAAAGCAGTGTTTAAGCTAAAAGGCAGCACTGCCACAAAGAACAGAAAGGTATCAGCAGACCTTGAATAAACAAGGTTGGGAAACAAAAAATTTAAGGCATCAAAACCAGCAGAGACAGGAGGTTATAAAGCTTCCTGTAGCTTTATAGGTCAAAAATCCTAAACAATTTCCTCAGGCTCTGCTTTTGCACTGTTAGAGTGAGGCAAAATCAGCTAAGAAGTCTCTTGCAGTACCATTCTCTTAGTGAATGAAACACTCATTCACTAAGAGTGAAGAGTATCTCCCTTTGCCATCAGAAAACATGTTCTGCCTGTGAACAACTCCAGACTGGATAACTCAAACTATCATGCAGAAAAAAAATGAGAAACTTGCAGATCACATAAAACAGCACAAAACTAATTTTCATACTGTGGAGAGATTTCTTTCATGTTTCCTGCTGATAATCATAAAATTATCAATGAGAGATTGCCAACTTTGTGGGCTTAATCCATAATGTACTCAACTGAAATGTACTGCTTCTTCAGAAGGCTTTTTTATGTGCCAAATATTACTATGGCAATCTTGAAATACCTGTTGTTGCCTTTAATAATGCAGCCTACATATCACCAGAAATATTTTCATGACTTTGATTTCAGAGCAAAAAGAAATCCAGAAAATCTGGATTTGTTCAATGATGGGCTATTTATGTGCAAAACTACAAGAGTGGAAGAAGGCAAAGGAAAGACAGTGAATGGAAGAAAGCTTTTAATCTCATAGTTATCAGGAGACATTCTCCTCCTATGTCTTCCACTTAGCACCTAACAAAGCATTAGATTATAAAGTCTCCCTTAAGCCTGTTTTCTCCCAAATGACTCATCTAGAATTGGCTGCTTTATAGAAGCAAAATTATTTTGGGCAGCTAGTCCTCACAGACATTAATTGTTGCAATACAGGCTACTTACTGAGCCAATGCCATCCATTAACGTCAGCAGTGAAGCAACAACTCTCTTTTCAACTTCATTCTGAGCCCCTTCTCTCTTGGGACAGAGTGCATCCAACTCATCTATAAATATAATGGATGGCTGACTGGAGAGGAAAGGAAAAAGGGGGGGGGGGGGCAGTTAATGTTAAGGTGCTCAGGAAGATTTAAAACACCAAGGCAGAGAAATACTAAGCTGTTTATGAAAAACATCCAGTTCCTACAAAAATTGACAAGCATTCCACTCCTTCAGGTGGAAAGTTTCAACCTTGAACTAAAATGACTAATATATCAAACAACTAATACCTTCAAGATGACCTACCAATCTAAGTTTTTACTTCTTCCTCCCAAAGACTCAACATGAGTAAAAAAGGCAGCAGTTTATTTGCCTCTTCTACAAACACAGTATGCGAGTCTTTTGCTGATGTACTGTGAACACCAATCATCTGGAAATCTAAAGTCTGCCTTAACCAGGTCTAATAAATTTGGGCAGAATGCCAGCTTAATCCAGAGGCGTGCTATAGCTATATAGAACCAACACTAGCTCATTTAGAACTGGCTTCCATGGCTCAGCAGCATGCTGCATTGCTCTCCAAAGATAAAACTAGAGAGAAAAAATTGGATCCAGGTGAAACTCTGGCTCCTGCTTCTATCTGTTGAAATAAGTGTACGCACAACACACTAATGATACAGGTTGAGCGATTTGGCACCATCTACAACAGTCCCTTAAAAAGGGTAGTGTCCAAAAGCATTTAATAGGCATACTAAAATTTCACTGCTTTCCTTCTAGCTAAGCTGTATATAAACAAATTTACTTCCTCTTAAAAACCACTGCAGGAAAACACTACAATTCAAAGATTCTTGCAAATGTTTTTCTTAAAGAACATTAATGCTGGAATCAATACTGCAAATAAGTGGTAAAAGTAAAAATTATCCAAAAGAACATACCACAAGGAAGCTTCAGCAAATACCTGACGTAATCTTGATTCAGACTCCCCATAAAACCTAAAATAATTAAAATACTTCAATAAAAATCATGTTTTGGTCTTTTCCAGGCAACTTGGAAAAGTCCTGTGTATTCCAAAAAGCCATAGCACACCCTTTCAAAGTCCCCAAGTACATGCGAATCTACAACAATCTTTATTTCCACAAGAACAAGAAATTGAGGTAAAATGGAGCACAGGCAAATATATTACCATCCTGTAACTAGAATGAAGATTAAAGGCCAAAACTTCTCTTTTCTGTGTTAATTTTATCTATATTTTTAAAGCAAACAAACAAATAATTCCCAGGAGACATTTCTTGGTGCAGTGTCACCTTCATTTCAATTATGCTTTAATAAGCCAGCTTCTTGTTGCAGAACTAACATGCAATTGCAGATGCAGTTTTAATCCCCTCTTTAATTTAGTTCTTGCCTTACGTAAATTTATTGGCTAAATCCAATAAACCTCTCTTATTACAAGAAGAAACATAAGCCCTACTGGAGACAACCCTTTCCCATTAGTTTTTTACCTTCTTGGGCAGATAGATGTAGAACTGGCTATGGGCTATCCACAAACAGACAGACGCCAGGACAGACTTCAATATATTTTTTGAATCAATGAAAATAAATTGGGTGGACTTACTTGCTGATTATTTCAGGACCATTAATAACCATAACGTGAGCGCCAATCTCATTTGCAATTGCTTTGGCAATCATAGTCTTCCCAGTACCTGGAGGGCCATACAGGAGCACTCCTCTAGGAGGACGGATGCCTTTCAACAAGCACATGCACACAGAGAAGGAAGTTATTTAGGATAAATGCCAGTCTGAACAACCTGCACGTGTACATTTTCACTATCCTAGTTATTACCAGTTATAACTTGACCTCAGCATTAACTTCTTTAACAGATGCATCATTTTGATAGAATTGTAGGCTTTCAGTAGAAAGAGCACTCTTATACAGAGCACAGATCTATATTTTTTCTTTTGAAGTCCAGATGCTTCTGTTTAAAAAGCAGCTATTTCAATCATTATATTTTTCAGTAGTTCAACATTATAATTCTCCATATGCGTTATGGCGTTTGTTTTGGGGATTTTTTTCAAAAAAAACTATTGGACCGAGTACCCAACATCCATGAATGTGCTTTAATAAGTAATTAATGATTCTTAGTGTCATTATTACAAATTTCCAATGTCAGAAAACCACTTCTCCCTCAGAAATACTGTGAGGTTCGGTTCAGAAAAATCCCTCAGAAATACTGAGGTTCAATTCAAGAATACTTAAAAAAAAAATGAAGAACACACATCAAAAGGATTAATTTGCCTCTTTAGTGGCACATGTTACAAGCTAAAACAGACAGAAACATTCAGGCACAGAACATAAGGGGCACCAGAAGAACAAGGTACGACTGTATACAGTTAAAACTGAACAGAAACTACGGGTAACTGCATGAAGTACTATTATGATCCCAGGCAGAGGCCCCCAAAAAGTTTCAGACCAGCAAAAGCCAAACCGAATGGGCACAAAGCCAAAAACAGATGAAAAATTAGAAAGCAAAAAGAAGGAAAGTCTGACAAAGGACTGACCCTGTCACTAAAGGCATTGCTGAAACACAACCAAAGAAGAAACATCAGTTGGTACTGCAATACCAGACAGAGAACAATGCTTGAAGGGCAGGTCATATCCCAGTGGTGATGGAGAATAATAGAGCTGGCATAGACAGAAAGTCCAAATATTAGGAACTAACATACTCAAACTGTCTGCTAACTGTCACAGGACAGAAGTGTCTTTAAGGAGAGGTTACTTTACAAGAGTACGTTAAAGCATGTGCTGCTCCCTCATGCGGTGTTTCTGGTACTGGCAAGAAACGGAGCTGCTGAACCAAGGTCTCAGCTCAGCTGACAGCCTTGTTCCCCATGAGGAGACAAGGGCTCTCAACGTTTTAATGGTTATGAAAGGTTTGCAACTGATGAGGAAACATCATCATCTCTCATGTAATTAATACAGAAGCTGATCAAGCAGTTTTGGGACTAAGTATGAAGAACACTGATGCTGAAGCAAACTTTCTGCTAACACAAAATCATGTGGTGATGCTGAGGTTGGATGTCAGTGAATTGAGCTGGACCACATGCGGATGAAGGTGCCTCACACCATTCCATTGACACCTGCCCATCACACCCAAGCAATGTACACCAAAAGACTGTCTTTTGGAATTTTCCCAGTAATAACTGAAATCATGTCCTCCTTAAGCCTACGTGTGGATAGATAAGGAAGAGAAATAAAAAGCCTCAAAGACATCATATTAAAGAAATATTTACAGGTAAAAGCCCTGTCTCACAGTGATCCACACCTAAACAAGCACAATGAGCAGAAGCACCTACTTTATACATATCCATTTGTGATAAATACACAGTACAGAGTTTTATCTTTGCCACAAAAATCCCCAAAGTTTCTACATATGTTAAGTATGACTTTATATATGGCAACAGTAATCACGTTATTTTTTTCTACCTTGTCATTCCCTACTAAACACACTGAGTAGTGAGTAAACAGCCTCAAAAGCTTCCCTAAAATTTTGCAGGAACCCTACAACATGCAGGGATAAAAACAGCAGATAAATTAATCCAACTGAGTTTTTATCAACTTAAAAAGATGTAATTAGTTGACTCTACCAGAACAAACTGAAATCTTATGAAGACACAAACATCTGCACCTTTAAATGCACAAGTACAGAAGTCTTTCCTATTTGCTGTAAAACCTGCTGATGCATGCCTGAATTTTTTTGTACAGACAAGTATTTCTTCCCTACTCAATTATTTTTCACGACCTAATCATAACATCTTCATAGTATCCATACAGCAAGCATTATAAAACAGCTTGACATTGTTCAAACACACATGTATACCACACCAGCATTAAATAAAATTCAGTGCATATTCCTGCAATAGCTTGGTTTTACAAAAAATTAAAGACATGTTAAAGAAGAAAAACTAGTATAAAATGAAGAAGCCAACTCTTAGGCATCATACCGTAACTCTTGAACAGTTCAGCTTGCTTCAAGGGCAGTTCAACTGTTTCTCTAATAGTTCTGAGCTGGCTACTTAGACCTCCTATCATATCATAGGTGACTTGGGATTCACAGTCACCATCATCTGTTGCATTGGACCTTGTTTCAATAAAACTGATTCTAGTTCTTGAAGAAATAAAATAAAAAGTGTCTGCACTGCTTATTTGTCCAGTTTTGCCAGTCAGTGGGAGTCCCTCACTGCCTCCTTTCCCAGACAACTCCAAATTACTACTGAGGTCTGCGCCATCTCCCTTGCTGCAGGTTTTCTCTGCCTGACCAGCACCTTGATCACTGGCCGTCACAGCAGAACTGGGTGTAAGTGGTGAACTTGGATCCATCAGTTTGCTTGGTGTGCTCATAGATGCAACCTCTGGACTATTGTCAATGTCCATCTTGCCGAGCTGGAAGGACAAATCTAACATACTTGTGTCCAAATTTGATCCTTCAAGGTCTGGCTCATGCACATCACCAGAAACGGTGCTGCCCTGGGCAGTCAGCTCTCCACCATCAGTTCCTTTCACTTTCATCACCACAATGTTACAAACTCTGCCATAGAAGGTGAAAGCCAAGAGATTTCCTGGTAAAACAATTTTCCCATCTATGGGAAGATTAAAAAAAAAAAAAAAAAAAAGAAAAAGACAAGAAAAAGACAACATTTCAATGTACTTTGGCAGCAATAACATTCAGACATTCTTGTATCAGAACAATAATTCTGTGTGAGGAAGACTAGGCAGGGAGTGCTCTAAATAAGCATAACAAAAGACAGGTAATTTCCATGTAATTTCAGTTCATTTCAATGATCCTTTTATGCACAAACACACTACTGGGTAAATATTCACCAGTACCATATGTAATCTCTCACACTAAACATCATTAGTCTGACCCTTTTAAATTTCACACACCATACAAAGGGAGAATATGGAATTAGTAAGAAGTAAAAATTTTGTATCTGTTGTGTGCCTAATAAATTCACAACAGTTCATGGTTAGACAACTTTCTTTGAGAGTCTTGGCCTAACAAAAAGCCAAGGTTTTTAGCCTTTGCACTGACAGAGAAAGATTAAGCAATGTGATCTGAACACACCCTACAGGCACAAAAAAAACAAAGGCAGAAATGTAAACATGATTTATTATTTCCAAACTCATGAATTTGAAATGAAACATTTGAAATGCAAATGTTTTCTGCTTCTTAGCATAGCAATACTCTTCTTAATTCCTAAATCAGAATATTCCCTTTGAGTAGAACAACTTGCAGTGAGTGCTTTGGGTAGTGCTATATCTTCCACAGGTTAACTGGCTTTTTTTGCCTTACTTACACTTATGTGCCACCCAATAAAGAGCAATTTTCCTCACTTATCACCAACACAAAAAAAAAAAATGTAATTCAGAGTATGGGATTTCATGTTAATATTGATCTTTTATCTCATTTTTACACTGCAAGTAAATTTTGAAGAGCATCACAATATCAGCCAGAAGGCCAGCAATGATTGCTAAAAAGCCGTAACCTGAACCAGTAGTATGTATAATGATCAGAAGAAATAGATCACAATTAATGTAAATTACATATTTACAGCAAGGCAAAATTATTTAGCCGAAAGAAGACAAATCCCTAAAAGAAGCATGGCCAGGATAAGGTACTCTATTTTGCTATAAGCTCTCAACTGAGAACACTAGAGGAAACTGTTTGCTTTTCCATCCAGAACTTGTGGATCTACTATAAAAATTAAACAGTCAAAAGAGAAGCAACAAAACTTGTACCTAGGTTTCTCAGTAGACAGACAGACATTTCCTCGGCATTAATGGTGGCATCTTTGTCCCTGTGGTAGGAAGGAAAAAGAAAGCATTTTTCCAAGCAGTAACTACTTCAAAACCAACAGAGAGTCCACACCATTAAGGCACCAAACAAACAAATACCATCTGTTTTACAGGATATCATTTAACCCCACAAACAGAAAAGATGGATGAGCACTTGCCAGTCTTCACATTATAGAATCATAGAATAGTTAGGGTTGGGAAGGACCTTAAGATCATCTAGTTCCAACCCCCCTGCCGTGGCAGGGACACCTCACAGTAAATGGTCACCCGAGGCTCTGTCCAACCAGCCTTGAACACTGCCAAGGATGGAGCATTTCACAGCTTCCCTGGGCAACCCATTCCAGTGTCTCACCACCCTTACAGTAAAGAACTTCCCCTGTTTAAGTTTGAACCTGTTACCCCTTCTCCTATCACTACAGTCCCTAATGAAGAGTCCCTCCCCAGCATCCCTAAAGGCCCCCTCCAGATACTGGAAGGCTGCTATGAGGTCTCCACGCAGCCTTCTCTTCTCCAAGCTGAACAGCCTCAACTTCCTCAGCCTGTCTTGATTACGGGAGGTGCTCCAGTCCCCTGATCATCCTCAAGGCCCTCCTCTGGACTTGTTCCAACAGTTCCATGTCCTTTATGTTGAGGACACCAGAACTGCACAAAAATACTCCAAGCGAGGTCTCACAAGAGCAGAGTAGGGGAGAAGGATCACCTCCTTCCACCTGCTGGTCACGCTCCTTTTGATGCAGCCCAGGATATGGCTGGCTTTCTGGGCTGTGAGTGCACACTGCTGGCTCATGTTCATTTTCTCATCGACCAACACCCCCAAGTCCTTCTCCACAGGGCTGCTCTGAATCTCTTCTCTGCCCAACCTGTAGCTGTGCCTAGGATTGCTCTGACCCAGGTGTAGGACCTTGCACTTGGCATGGTTCATAAGGATGGCATCAGCCCACCTTACAAGCATGTCAAGGTCCCTCTGGATGGCATTTCTTCCCTCCAGGGTATCAACCGAACCACACAGCTTGGTGTCATCGGCAAACTTGCTGAGGGCGCACTCAATCCCACTGTCCATGTCAGCGACAAAGATGTTAAACAAGACCGGTCCCAACACCGAACCCTGAGGGACACCACTCGTTACTGGTCTCCAGCCGGACATTGAGCCATTGACCACAACTCTTTGTGTGCGGCCATCCAGCCAGTTCTTTATCCACTGAGTGGTCCATCCATCAAATTGGTGTCTTTCTAATTTAGAGACAAGGATGTCGTGTGGGACAGTGTCAAACGCTTTGCACAAGTCCAGGTAGATGACATCAACTGCTCTACCCCTGTCTGTCAGTTCCGCAGGCCCATCACAGAAGGCCACCAAATTGGTCAAGCAGGATTTCCCCTTAGTGAAGCCATGCTGGCTGTCACCAAGCACCTTGTTGTTTTTCATGTGCCTTAGCATGCCTTCCAGGAGAATCTGCTCCAAGATTTTGCCAGGCACAGAAGTGAGACTGACTGGTCTGTATTTCCTTGGGTCATCCATTCTTCCCTTCTTGAAAATGGTGGCTATATTACCTTTTTTCCAGTCATTGGGAACTTCACCTGACTGCCATGATTTTTCAAATATGATGGCCAGTGGCTTAGCAACTTCATTCGCCAGCTCCATCAGGACCCGCAGATGGATTTCATCAGGTCCCATGGACTTGTGTACATTCAGGTTCTTAAGACGGTCTCACACTAGATCCTCTCCTACAGTGGGCCTGAGGTCTTCACTCTCACAATCCCTGCCTCTGCCTTACAGCACTTGGGTGGCGTGGTCAGAGCATTTGCCAGTGAAGACCGAGGCAAAGAAGTCATTATGAGCTTCAGCCTTCTCCAAATCCAGGGTAGCCAGTTCTCCTGATAGCTTCTGGAGAGGGCCCACATTGTCCCTAGTCTGTTTTTTATACTATCTGAATATTAGACACATAGCAACAAAAGAAGCATGCATATTGAATTCTGGGTTAGTTTTTCTATACATAATGCTGAAATAAACAATATCATAACTTATATTTACCATTTTTAAAGATTAAATATATGAAATGCATGCTTCTCATCTCACCACACAAACAGCCATTGCTACATTTACTGAATTTAAAAAGATTACAGATAAAATAAGTCTCTTCCAGCCCTGCAAACACACATACACATCTTCTATTCATGAAACTAGCATCTTCAACACTTGCAAAACCATGCATGCCTTAAGCATTGTATATCCACTATCAAACCAGTACAACTCCTCTCCATGACATATTTTCTAATCTTTTATTTAACCAAGTTTAAGTGACTCAACAGATAAGCCTTAAGCCTCACCAGCCCTGGCCAGGCCTACAGCATTTTCTCAACTGGGATTTAACACACAACTGAACAAATGTGGTCTTAACCTAAAGCAACTGCAAGGTAAAAAGTGTCTTGTGAGAATGTCTTTCTCCAGTGTCTATTAAAATACCTCACGCCACTGAGAGCACAGACACCATTATCTCTCCCCACTCCTCAGATACACTGCAATGTGCAAGACATTTAGAAGTTACAGCTACTGCAAATAAAAGTATGATCAACGGGGGGCGCTCTAAACCCAGAAATAAACCCCCAGCTCTCAATTCTACTAACAAAGTAACTTGACGGAAAGAGGTGTATTATGCTAAATTAGAGGAGCTCACTCAAAATATCATTGCCATTCCTGACAAGTAAACACATCTTGTTACGTTTTTGGAGTCTGAGGCTGGGGACTGATTTGAAAAAAAAAAAAAAAAAAAGAAGAAGAAAAAAGCTAAATTATGTATGCAAGCAGCTCCCTAGAGGTATTAATTTGCAGAGAAGGAGCTGCAACTGTGAAGTGTGTCTAGAAACCTAGGCAGTACTCAGATAACGGGATTTCCACTTCTTTTAATAATTTATATTCTTACATGGTAGAATGGCACTAAGGTTTGTAATAAGTGAACAGGATTAAAACAGACCAGTTACCATTTTCTTTTTTTCCTAGAGTAATTCTAGAAAAACAGTCATTTAATCTGGTGGTACATACATATAACAACCTTCAGAGCCTGACTCTTGACTGGCCAAGAGGGAAACCTCTGACTGTGGAACACTTTCCAAAGAAAATTACTGTAATCAAATATTTCTGAAATTACATACTCAATTCCTCTGACCTCATCCTTTGCTTGTATTGTAAAAGTCTCAGCTTTGAAGAAAAAATGCATATTAACATGGGGAAATATACGTAGATTATGCTTAATTATTTAATTTAACGTGAGGTTCACTTTTTAATGAAATGACTGTTTTCAAACACTTCTATAACCAAACAGTATGTAATAATAGTAAAACTTTCTATAGGATTAAATTAACCATATCAAAAGATATCTTTTTTTGCATTTCTGGTAAGGAGAGAGGCACAGAGGGCAACACAAGCTGATGGCAGGAAGTCAGCACATAATGTGCAGCCAAATTAACCACTAAAACTGTAATAAAAGTTGGTTATATTCCTGACACAAAGCAAGACTGCCTCACTAGTATTTCTGAGAGTCAGTACACTGGAAAACAGCATCTTCCTGTTAAAATGGACAACAACATCATGTTTGAAAACAGAGGCTTAACGGGGAAGTGAAGTAAATTTATAGAAATTGAAGTGTTGGCACACTTTCAAAGTAACTGTAAAATAACTTTATCTAGGAATTAACTATAATCAGGTTCTGCGTCAACTCAAATGGTGACTGTGGAATGTTTTGAGAATGACAAATACAGGAAGTCTGTATTCTGCAGACTGGCAAAATGTTAATTTCTCAGTGCATTCACGACTTCAAGACAACTGTGATTTGTACCTTTTGCTTCTTTTTTTGGACTGAATTTCAATTAAAAAAGAAACACCTCAGAATTTCCAATCCTAAAAAATATTCCAGTAAATAAAACCAGAGCATAAAGCCACAAATATACAAAGGGCAAGTTCTGAAGGGAAGTAGTTAAAAAAAATATAAAATCACTCTCCCCAAGCTGTCAGCCAGTATTTCTCTTAACCACAACAGGACTTTTCAACAAGAGCTTCTCAGATAGCAGTGTGCAGCTTACTTTCTAATGACAACAGCAGCAACAGGCTCCTTCTAACCTGACATCAACTATACACAGAGAGATTATCCTCATCCTTTACAAGTGACTTAGAAGTTCAACAAATCTGCCTCGATCATGCAGTTACACACCCTTGCCTAATGTAAATGCAATGCAGGTAGCTTGACCTCCACTTCAGGAGACGCTGGGCTATTGTTACTATTCATTAATTTAACGTAAAACAAAGACTCTCTTAAGACTAATGAGCTTAATGTCATTAACATTAATGTCTCACAACAGCACCTCAGCTCAGATTTTGTACAACAGCTGAGCCACTCCACTGTGCACACAGGGGGCTGCAGTTAGTGGCAGTAAGCCAACAGTTACTAAACTTTAATCTTAACCCTGCAAACATCTGCACTTGTTTGATTTTGTGTAGGTACTAATACCATCAAAGCAAGAGAAAAAAAATAGCATCTTCTAAGAGGTAGGAGTCGGCAGTGTAAAGCAGACACCTCACTAGGTTATAACAAGTTCCATACCTCAACTTTACATTGATTTCCTCTGCCTGGATGACTGCACCAATTACAGGCTGCACAGTGACAGCATCACCCAGATTTGCTTTCAAGTTCTTCTGTGTGGTTTCACTCAGCCCAACTTTCCCACCTGGAAAGCCTGTGGTGGGCCAAGCAGTACAGACCTAGGAAGAGGATGCAAGCAAACAACTGTCAGTTAAGATGGATTTTTCTTCCCACCATTTCCAGTCTTCCACTTAGGAGGAGCAATGTTTTGTTATAAAAAACATCTGCTGAGAGGGAAGAAGGATTCGGTTAAAACTTGGTGCCACAGAGTAAGATACTGAGTAGCACTGAGTTCTTAAGGTATGATCCAAGACAATTTTCAAGAAAGAAGGGGTTATACTTTGCCTACAGGAGACAAAAAATTCCACCAAGACCCTACACATTTTGCAGATGACCCAAAAGCATACACTGTAAGAAATGCCTCAAATCAATGAGGAAAGAAAAGTGCTGTACTCTTTCTTTGCAAATAAAACGTGTGCGTACATATATAATACAAAACACAATACATATATTCACTCGACATACACTTCTGGGAAAAAAAAAAATCAGTACTGAGAATAAAGATGTAACTACAGAGTAGAAAACATGGATAAGCTCATTTGCTATCTTTCTCAATGCATGCTCCATTTTGGTCCCTGCTGAATACAAGAGAAACATGTTGAAAGCCCCAGAAAAAGCACTTGTAGGAATAATTAAGAGCCTCACCTCCTGTCGCCTATTAGCAGACGTAATCAAGACCGGACGACCTATGCATACGTTTGCAGACTTCATGCTGCTCAGTGACAGCTGGGCGAGGTCTCTTCGCAACATATTTGGAACTTTATCATCTCCTAATATTTTCAGAAAAAAAAAAATCATTTTTTCCTACCTGTCAGATTAATTCAGTGTTTCTCGCACTCCCCAATCAGTATAACTAACAAAACCCTTCTAAGCCCCCATGAATGGCAGCACCCAGCCATGAGGGAAGTGCAGGGACCATCCTGGGTCTGCGCTGTAAGGGGACCGTGTTTTCGACCGGTCTGAAAACACCCATGGCAACGTGGACTGACAGATTTCCCATCCCGTTTTAACTAACAAGAAGCAACAAAAAAAACTACAAACAAAATCCATTACACGGGGCTCAGCCGACCTTGCCCGAGAAAGCCTCACTTTCCCGCAAGGCCCGTCTCCGTGAGAGGACCAGGCAGCCGCTAGAACCCTGCCACCGGGGCCCGGGCTCGCTCTGGCAGCCATGCGAGCGCAGTTTTGCAGGGACTCATTTTTAAACGAGCCGCCCTCAGCCCGGCGCCCGGGTCAGATATTGGCACGTCCCCGTCGCAAGCACTCACGTACCTGCCTCCACGGCGTCCGAGACCCCCAGCACCAGCGGCCCGCCCTCGGCAGCGTCAAGGGGAACGGCGCGCGGAGAGCCATCGCTGCCACCGCTGTCTGGGACCGGCCGCCCCTTACTCTTCCTTCTGGAAGACGCGGCCATGCTGCCCCGCCAGCTGTCGCAGAGCGCTTCCGGGAGCAGAGGCCGGCACCGCCCATGGGGTGGCCTCGTCTCGTCCGGCTCAGCCCCACGCAGCGCCATGGTGAGGCCGTGGCGGGCGCTGCACCGTGCGCGGGGCTGGGCTGCTCTGGCGGGGCTGCAGGCGCGGCCGGATAAGTTCGGGGGGGTGAGCGTGAACTTGGCGGAGTTGAGTCAGCCTCTCTGTTTGGAGCGGGCCATCTTCGGGCGATGGCTGCGCGGCAAGTGCCGGGCGGGGGCCTCGGGGGGGCAGGGCGGGGAGGGGGGCAGCGAGTCTTCCCATGAGCCGTGAGCTCACCTTCACGCACGCATAGCCGTGGTCGTGTGGTGAGGGGTGTCGGCAGAGGCAGCTGAAGGGAGGAAAGATGCGGTTTCCTGTGCCTTAAGGCATATCCCAACGTAAATCCCCCTATTTTATGTGTTGACACCAAAATTTACTGCTTAAAATGCCAAGCTGGCAGCCTCTCCACCTGTCGCCGCTGGCACATTTCTCACACCTATGGTAGTTTGACCAGCGGTAAATGAGGTGAAAATACAGACTTTGACGCATTAATCCAATCCGTTGTGTGCGGTGCGGTTTACGACCAGAAGGAGCAACTGCGAGGGGCGTCTCAGGCGGCGGTGGCTTTCAGCCTCCGCTGCTCACTTTCTCTTGCAGGTGCTGTGGCCCAGTGGCGGGAGGAAGGCTGCACTGCTGTCTGGCTGCATGTTCCCATTTTCCAGAGTGGGTTTGCGGCAGCAGCCGCTTCACAAGGCTTTACTTTCCACCACGCTGAGCAGGGCTCATCCACCTTGACCCTATGGCTGGGAGAAGGGCCCAGCAGGCTGCCGGGGTACGCCACCCACCAGCTGGGAGTTGCAGGTTAGTGACTAAAGTGGTTGCGCCCACAAACAGCTTTATGAACAAGCCTCTGGGAACAGGTTCAGTAGGAAACAATCTGCACAACAAGCACATGGAAAACAACTGCCTACTGCTCGGGTAACTTTACAAACTGAAGTGTGTCATTCAGGAATCATAGAATGGTTTGAGTTGGAAGGGGCCTTCAAAATCATCTTGTTCCAACTCCCTTGCCACAGGGAGGGACACCTTCCATAAGACCAGGCTGCTCAAAGCCCCATCCAGGCTGGCCTTGAACACTGCCAAAAATGTGCCTGTATGACAGGGCATATTGCTAAAAACAGGCTGCTAAAGTGAGAGGTGTCTCAAGAGAACTCCAGTTTGAGAAAATTATATATAAATAGCTCAGGGAGAAGAAAATGTGTTGCTGATGCTTTCAATTTTCATTCAGGAATATTGTTTTTAAACACCATTTTGAGAAGCATATCGTGGCTTTCACCTAGCAGATGAGAGAGGTAGGATTTCAAGGTTCAAACAGGTTTTTAAAAGCAAAAATGTAACTACAAACTTATCAGAAAAAAATTGCTTCTCTGCTCCCTCTCCTTTCTATAGATGCTTAATATGTGCATCTGCCTAAACTATGCTCAAGTTAAGGTCTGTAAATAGGGCAAAATTGACCCAACAGCGGTTCTTCAGGGGCTGGCACAACCACTGGCCTAAATTACAATGGCCTAAAAGCTGATCTAAGCTGGACCTAGAAGTCCACAACCCAAATAAGTATATTTCACAAACAAACATCTGAATACCATGCTGTTACCCATCTGGACCTCCCGCAACCACACCACAGCTGAAAAGGATTTGCTCAAAAAACTGATATGATTCCCAAGGAACTAAATAAGATGGTTTCCCCACCAACACCTTTTTTTTTTTTTTAATACATCACAGTAAAAGGAACTGATGATGAGCCAAAAATACAATCAACTTGAACTGTGCTTCACCAAATTTGAATGGTTTTGTCCTCCTTCCCAGCAGGCTTCCACAGGAATATTACTACCAGTTCTATCATTTAGTAATGTCCTGTAAACTGGAGGTTGGTTTGGGCCCCTCATGTACAGGTAAAGAGTGGATACAGCAGAGGGACAGCAAACCTCTCCCATTACAACCTTGACTCATTTATCCTTGGCTTGCAGGGACGCTGTGGGATGTTAATTCCTCACCAAGTGCTGTTAAGACCCATAAACAGCAATTTGAAAAATCTAGTTAGGAAGGACTTGCAAAAGCTGGATTATTCTATGTAGCAGTAGGTCAGGTGAAAGTAAAGTTTGGAAAAACAAAGCTTTCAATTACAAAACAGCTCTACTACTAGGGGTATTGTGATTTTTCAATTACCGCCAGCAGAGGTCAGGGTAGAAGCCGAAGACAGGCCTGGAATTTTTCAGTTAACATGTTAGAGCGTGTTTTCCTGAGGTATGAAAACCTCACCATTAAAATATGCATCATTAAATGCCAGTAAGATAATGCATTCTAGCAAAAGCACCGTGTTACTCCTTATGGTTGTAACTTGCATGTTCAGGGAGACAAGACTTAACTGAAAGGGGATTTTTCTGACGGAGTTTGCATAACTGAAAGAATTAGAAGAAAATCGTGTAATAGATGGTTCTGACCCTGATAGTTGTCAGGAAAGACTTAATATAAGAAAAATCGTAAGTTTGAGAAACTCTAAACATTTGAAAACATGAAAAATGCCCTTTCAGAGCATAATTTGCTGTTGTATGTTGAAATATTTTGCGCATAGAAACATCTGCAAGTAGGAAAAACTTTGAGGGAACAAAAAGTTGCATAAATGCAGGTATATGGATTTCATAATTTATTGCCCAGATTTAAGATTTGCACAATGTATAATGTATGTATTCTTTGCAATCACTTTCCAGACCTGTAGGTTCTTATTCGTTATTGGGAGTTTCTTTAAAAGCGTTAAAGACTTAAGGAAGACATTTAGGCAGGTAAAAAAACAGATTTCTGTGTGTGAAGTAACAACTGCAGTATTTTGGGGTTTCTTCTGTTCCACTCACTCTTGGTGGTTCTGGAACACATCCCAGGGATACACTAAGCAGTGTGGATAACACCTGGCATACTGTTATTAAATTATCATTCAGGAGTGAGAGCCTTTTGTAGTGGAAGTTCTACTTTTAATTTATTTTATTGAAACATTTAAAGGAAATAATTTTTTAACAAAATTAAATTACTTAAATGTGTGTATTTAGTGTGTGTGTGTGTGTGCCAAACCCTAGGCTTTTTTATTTGCTGAACAAAAAATGGGATTTTAGAAAGCCTATGCAGCGAATTTGCTGATGAGAAGCTTCATCTCAAAGCTGTGGCAGATCAATTAAATACAGCACTTAGTCCCTTGCTCATCCTGAAAGTAAAAGGCAGGGATGTTGAGTGTGGTTTGCCAACCTACGGGATGCCAGCCCAGGCAGCAGACAGCAGGTAGCAAGTCCATGTTGCCAAGTAGACCAGCAGCTGGTTTTCATCCTGTCTGGAGTTTCCCTCATGGTAAATGCTGTGCCGCCAGGGCTAGTGCCTCAGCATGGTCTAGCCAAGTGATGACAAAGGTGTGAATAAGCAAGGTCAGGTCATATTTTGCCAGACTAGATCAGAGTCACCAAGCAGTAAGCAGCAAACGTTACTCATTGGGCTCAGCCGTTATTGTTTAGAAGTAGTGGAATATGTGATGTGTCTTCCAGCTAACTCTAACTTACTGTGTCCACTTGTAGGCGTCAGGATTTTCCAGATATGTAAAGGTACAGAAAAGCTTCCTGTGTATGAAATAATGAAGAAGTTTTTGAAAAACATTTCCAAAATTCTCCACCTCCTAGGAGGAACTGGTCTGCCATCCAGAAAGTTATGTGTTTATAATAATATACTTTATTTAAGTTTAATTAAGTTAATATACTGCGTAACAATGGCATAGGAAGACAAGTTGAGGAAGGAAAGTAAAAGGAGAGGAAGAAAAATAAAAGTCACTCTCTTCTCCCTTGCATGTAATATGAGCCTTAGGATGTGGCTGTTACTTTCAGTGCTACCTACTTTAAATCTAGTTGTTGAAACAAAGTATCCACACACACAGTCAGGTGATAGCCTTGGACAGTCCTGTTACTTAAGAAAGGGTGTAAAATACGCAGCTGCATAAATGTCAGATTGTACAGGAAGCTGGAGTTAGGTTATGATGGTCCAAGGAATCAAAAGTGATTTAAAAGCAGTTCCCAAGTTGTTTTACAAAGTAATACCTATTCCTGTCTGCTGCCATTTACAATGCAAGCAGTCATGTGTGTGCTCATTACTTCGATGACAAATGCTTTTCAATGCCGAGCATCTTCATACAAGCTGACATTGGTGACAAATAGAACAGGTAGAATGAAGGTATTTTTTCCCCTCCAGTACATGCTTTCTAGAGTTGTCTAAAGGATTTTTTTTTAAATAATTTTCTTACCTATTTCCCAAAATAGAACATTCAAAACAAAGCAGTGTTATAATAGTAATTACTTGGTTAGGTCACAAGCATAAACCTTTCCAGAAAGTCCTCCTGCTGTTGGATGATTTAAAGCTTCAGATAGCACATTTGTAGCAAGAAGGGGAGCTTTTAGAGCTGCAGTCCAGAGCCTGTAGTGGATGTCTGATCTCGTTGATTCTACCTAAGATTCTAACGTTGATTCAGCTGAGGGACTCCTGAGAAAAATGAGACAAGACAGCCAATCCTAGTGTTTTTCCTTTCTTCTTGCTTTGGATTTCGGTATCGTCTAGCAGAGACTTTTGTCATCTCATAGAGAATTTCACTGCCAAAAATTACATTAACAGGCACTGATTTCTGTGGAACAGCGGAAACAAAAAGTTGTTTTGTTTGATTCAAAGTGTAGTTTCCTGTCTTCAGCAGTCCTCCTTGGTCTCAGCAAACCATTTAGTTGAAGAACAGCTTTTCTAGAATATAATCCTTGTAATTGCAGCATGCATCAAAGTCACCCCTGCTTTTAATCAGTACAGTTCTTGAACCTGGACACTGCTAAACATTTATGGAGGAACGAAATCATAAAGTCATAAGCCACAGGGAGGCAGATGCATGACTACCCTCTTAAAGCACATCCTCTGACATATCTTGAAGGAAGATTGGTATTTCATCTTTTAAATAATCCTCCTCCACAGAAGCCTGCTATGTATTATTAAAAAACAGAGGATGTTTCGAGCTGGACACTCATCCCTTGATAATTCCCTTCTGTGGAAATACTTCCCGTAGCATTTTAAATGCATACATCATCACAGATGTGACCATGTACTCTTGCTCCTGCTGTAAAATAACAAGCATTTTTTTTTATTGTTAATTACTAATTTGAACCCCATGCATGACTGATGTGGAAGAGAGCCTGGGAAACTACCACAGTGCTCATTCTACTCAACAAATCTGAGAAAAATATGTGTTTTAAAGGGAAGGAATTTTTAAAGTATGACCAAAGAGTGTGACAGGATGACTAAACATGAAAGCACCTGGGTCAGAAAAATGAGAACTTGTAATCTGCTGGAGAAAGTCATGGGCTGACCATGAGCACACAAGGAAAAGCTGAACTTTTCAGTCATACATCCTGATTCGGTTTGTTGGGTTTTTTTTAGTTTTTTTTTTTTTTTTTTTATCAAGTGGAAGTGTCACTTTCACACTTGGAAGCAATGCTTTTTGATTAACAAGTTGACTCAGATTACTACGCAGTTACTATCATGAGTTGTTAGCTGGGCAGTACAGTATGAGTACATAGATAGTTAACCAGTTAGAATGTTACCAGTACCGTCAGCCCACCAAGTACTAAAGCTTGTGTGTTATTAATGAGAAAACCCTCAAATCTTCACTACAGCAGGCAGGAGTTTTGTCATGAATTTCACTGGAGAACAGTTCATGCCCATCATGGTCACCCAGCCGGAGTCACTGGAACAATTTCTGTTATTTGAGCAATCCTGCAGGCACAGCTCTGCTGAAGCAGGCAGCTTTGCTAGGTTATTTTGATGGTGTCTTGATCTCGCCTTCTTTCGTTCTGATAATATTAGCACAAGCAAACTGTTCTTTTAATTTCCTGTCTAATCTGGAACTTAAATGTGGGAAGTCTTTATCTTGCTGCTACTAACTTTGTTTTTTTTTTTCTACAGGGTACTTAACCTTTTTTTGTATTTTACTGTGTATCAGTTTTCCACTGACAAACCACTTTCTGCTATTCATCTATAAAAATCTTGCTAACGGTACAAGCAAGGGGGTTGTCATGCTTTATCAAAACATGTTTAATTAGGGTGGTTAAGATTGAACATAGTTACCTTAACACCACATTTTTTCCAATATTATCTCTCTACTAGGTGCTGTCCTACATGAAAGCACTGGAAAGGTGTTGGTTGTACAAGACAGAAATAAGGTAAGTTTGTTACAGGATTATAAAATAGAGAAGTTCATTTAGAGAAGCCAGCTCTGTAGTATAAAACAAAAATATTTTTATTCCAGTGCAAAATTGTGAGAGTTAGAAATTACTTTGACTAATGTCTTGGAACACATCTATCAACAGATTGTTGTATTGCATTTGAAGGAAAAAAATAAAAATCGGACTTTGAAAACCAGTGGCTTTGTTGTTAATTATAGCTGGTGATTGAATTAACAGAACAAAGTATCCTCTCTGCTTTTTGTTTTCTCCTGTAACTGACCCATGAGTCCCTGATACTGTGCAGCCCTCTGGAAACCCCTATGGCTCGAAGCACACTTCGGGAAAAGGGTTCAGATTCTGTTTGGTTTTGAAAATTCCAGGCATATCTATGGCTTTAAATATGCAATAACATGGTTGGCCATGGCTTGGAGACTACCTCAGTACTGCAGGTGTAAAGATGATCAATTTCTCACAACTGAAAGTGCTTGACCTCGCTGCTGAGAATGTCAAACCAGAGTATACTAGTGTGGTGAGGGTGGGTTGTGTGATGTGGCCTGAGGCAGCCCGGTATCCATCGCTGGTAATGTCTCCAGCTTCTATCAGGCTAACCTGGGTTTAATATGGCACCATTTCTTCTCAGGACACAAAATGTGACTTCAGTTAACTGGTAATTACAACACAGTTAATGAACTTTAATAAAAAAGTGCCTTAATCACTTGTTTCAGTCATACAACATGGTGAAATTGCACATTCAGAAGGAAAGAGTAGTTTCTTAAGCCCAGATGGCTTAACGTTTAACTTCTTCATACTGATTTTGTTAAAGCTCACGCATAACCATTTTAAGTGCAGGTACTTCTATTCCGTTTTGCAGGAAGGCATTGAATGCTCCATTCAGGTTCGAGGTCTGATTCCGTACTTGCCAGCATTACCTCCATAGGCTCTGGCCCCAGAACACAGGAGGACAAGTCTGGCACTGCCCTTTCCCTCCAGCTCATTCTGGAAAGTGGGATGGCTATGTTCCAGGTCAGCTATTCCAGCCTACCTTTCTGGAAGAAAGCTGACACTACAGTGAGGGAAATAGGTGAAAGGAAAAAAAGTGATTGTTTCCAACTCTGCTCTTTACAGCTCTACTTAGTGACTCGATAAAATTGAGTATAAAACCTGGAGTCTGTGAATGCCCATACATTGCCTGTGCTGTGAGCAAATATAATACCTCGATGCAAGCAAATTGGCTCAGATGGTTCTCACTGTCTGTTCCAACACTCTTCTCCATTCTCCCCTGCAAAATGAACAATTCCCCTGAAATGGTGACTTCTAGTACAAATGATGTTCTAAAAGCTTTGAAAAAAAATAAAATTGGACAGCTAGTAGAATTCTAAGAGCTGTTTGGGTTTAATCATGAAAGGACAATTCCACAGCACACAAAGATTTCCAGGAACTGAAAGCAAAGCTGAAAGCCAGTAGACAACTATATGTGTTTTCCAGCTGCACTATTTTTAACCCTTTACTTTAAATTCCTATCCAAGCCTGCTAAAAGCGCACAGAAAAAAAACCTAAAAATCAACCAACCTTTTTCCAATGTAGTCGGGGTTTCAAATCACTGGAAAACAACAACTTCCCTCTCCATGCTGCACGTACAAGAAAAGACGCCTTTTATTTTTTTTGGCCAGTGTAGCTTTTTACTGTGTTTATTTCTAGTTGAAGGTTACCTTCTTCCTACATAAACTTTTAAGAAGGAAAGAAATAAAAAGAATAGTATATGGATGGAAAGGTAGAGCCTAGAAATCTTAGTGCAATTGCAGGAGGTGTAGGAACTGGGACTCGTTGACCACTATCAGTAACAGCACCAAGTCTACACTTCACATTCTGTTTTAGGTACTGAACTTTATTGCAACTGAATAAATGCTTCTACATATAAGTCACACACAAAGCATCAGTTTCTATATTCCATGAAAACAAATGACAAAGTTACGCTACATGGTTATTACAGACACACAAAGGCATGTCAAAGCCAGTGCAATATAAAACAGTACTACAATCATAATACCTTTTTGTAAGATTAAATATATATACATTTTTTAAAAGCCAAAACCATGGAAGTGGAATACATTAGTGATTAAATACAAGATTATATAATCTATAGCAGCTTTTTCTTTTTAAATACCTAACTACTCTAGTTATCTAGCAGCAATGTTGTCTAATGACTGTTAGACAGTTTTTATTTTCAATCAGTAGATGTTTAGTTCCAATATTTCATACAGACTGTAGGTATCGCTGGTCATCACATTAACATGAACAAAGAAGTTCCTATGTAAAGCTGTACTGATGTTTGTAATTAGAATACTGCAACTTCAGAAAGTCATGTGTTAATTGTCTCCTTCATATTAGGGAGTACAACACAGGCTTCAGTAATACTTTTTTTCCTCCAATACAGACTACAGATGCGTGGAAATTTCCAGGAGGTCTGTCTAATCCAGGCGAAGACATTGGTAAGTCCTAGGATAACAGGTCATGTGTTAACAGAATTGTGGAGACATGAACAGGACTGAAATACATTGTGACCCACATCACTCCTTTGGCAAATCACTGCTTTGAGTTGGTGAAGAGATGAAGTGGTCCTGTGACCTCAATGGTAATGGGGTAACGTTATGTGCAGGGCAGAGAAGTTTTACATTTGTAACATCTACCCTTTTCCATGCCTTCTTCTCTTAATTAAGTGCTTGAAGCCAGCTTATTTTTGGTAGGCTGTTTAACATGCTGTAATGCAAGCCAAAAGTGCAGAGGATTAAGGTAATCAGGATGTAACCCAAATAAAACTGAACCAGCGATCTCTTGGCTCCCACTGGAATCCAGGGCAGTGAGCTCAATGAGGGAATGACCAAAAATTTCCAACTTTTTTTTTTTTTTTTATGTGCAAAACAGAAATAAACACACTTCCTTCCTTCCAGCCTTGTTCATTTGGTTTGTTTAGACTGTGAGCTCTTTGACACAGGACCAGAGTCAAATGCAGCACCTTGGTGTTGTGGGCACCTACTTTCAACCAGAGACATAGGGTGCTTCTGTGTTAAAAACAAGGCTTCTTTGAGGAAACCTGTAATTTCTTACCAGTGTGGCACAGGTCAGTTCAAAGGTGAATGAACAAGGGTGTTTGTGAAGAGACAGAAAATTGTGCTTTTTCTCCATGTATCTCACCCCTTAAAATTACGATCCACAGACTAGTTCATTCCTAACTTACACTGCAGTTACTAGGTAGCTCCTGTTTTCTAAAGTTATTTTTGCTGACATTCATTTAGCCCCACAGCAGGATTCAGATAGGAATTTATTCTTCCAGCAACTCAAAAATGTTGCCCAGAACAGTATAGCAGCTCTAGCAAATTAGGTATCAAGCCCAGGTTTCTACCATTTTATACCTTAGAAATACCTACTGTTTTTCAGACTTCTACAACAAAAGGTGGAACAGTATTCCAGCTCATTATTTCAATACATGGAGAGAGTTTCTAGTTAGCAGGGTATGGCTGAGCTGTAATTTTCGTAAGTCATGAGTTATGTTTTAAGTCTTTTTGTCAAACAGGACAACAGAAATCAGAATTATTTTCTTGACAATGCAAATACACATACCATAGTGCAATGGATTCATGTTTTCATAAGAATTTGTTGTCTGGCCAGGCTCCTTTTCACTTCTAGTGACAGAGCTTGGCTCTAGGCCAGGAGATAGGAATTTTTGTACTGAGGGAAGAGAAAACTGCCAGCATTGTCAAGAGCTCGCCCCAAGGAGCACTGCTGCTGAGTAAGGCAGTGGCCACCCCTCAAGTAGCAGGTGAGGTGATGGCTGGAGGCTGGATACAATCATTGAGAAAGGCCTGGGAGGAAACAAACCTCTTACAGCTGCCCTCCTGCCACTACTAAACTATACCATAGTACAAGTTATGATTCACTACATCACATGTTAATACTACAAGAAGATATAAATTAGTGAAGCATAAAAATACAATAGAACTTAATTTTCCCCTTTTTATCCTTACATCAAACCTTATAAACTCACAGTCATTCAAGGGACCAAGTTTCAAATTATAACTGCAAATGGCAGTTAAAATGCTTGAAGATCCTGTGTTTATATGAAGTGACAAAATACATGGCTGCCTACTTTATGAGTACTACTCATGCAACTAACCTGAATAGTTTCTTAATGCGGATTAAGGAAAGTGCATGCATCTTTGTATTTGAATATTTCTGAAACTCAAGCCCTAGTTTCTTCTAGCTTAACTGTCATTATATATATTTTTATATTTTATAGATATACACACACATTTAAATAAAAGGGAAACAGAAAACACACTATCTAAAAGCAAAGCTCAGAGCTTAAGTGAAATCTCTAATTATTTCATTTATCTTAACCACAGCCTGCCTCAGCATTCCTCACAATCTCAGCTGTTTACCTTCTTCGACCACTCCTGTGTAATACAGCCCCTTGACTAATAATAAAACCACTTGCCACAGGCAGTTTGCTTTGCAACCTACTCTTTCAAACCAAAGGGTTGCAGCCTCTCCAAGGGTCAGTCATGGTGAATGAGTGTCTTTCCCCATATGCAGGTGCCTTTTAACTAATTAACACTGTAATGAAGTCACAAACATAAATGTTAGGAGACACTGCATATTAATGGACTTCCAGTCCCACAAAGACCTCTATACACCTGGTGTATGCAGCTCCTTCTACCACAAGGTGAAAGTTGAGCTGAGGCAGCAGGATGTGCAGGTTTGGGGCCATTCACATACAGCTGACTGGCCTCTGCTAGATAAATGGGTTTATATGTTGCTAGCCAATGTATGTCCACATTATTTCCAGTATTTGAAACTACCCCTTAAAATGCTTGCCTGCTCTGTTCACCTCTTGACGTCGCTACATGAGCTTCCACAGGAAGGCGAATACAAGTTCTCTTAAAACTTATTTTGTGTTTGAAGTAAGCCAGCACACTCATTCCACACTGAAATGAACTAACAGAAGCAGGGAACATCACAGAACAGCTACATGCATTCACCACTCAAACAAGACACAAGAAGAAGTTTACATAGAATCAGAAAAAGCTAATATTTTACCTACCAGTATTTTACCTACCCCAGCGAGTAGGATTTGACTTGACCACAATGGAATTGCAGACTTTGGGAAAATAAGTGGAATAGAAAACGTCTTATTTGAGCTCCTTAATTTAAGTTTTTCTTACCTTTTAAGCCCCTGAAGTTAGGGTTCCTTTGATAAGGAAGAAAACTGACACCTGCATCACTTCAGTTGATGTGCACAACACACACACATGCAGCACAGATTCCTGCAAGCACTGGCTGTGTGCTATACTGGTATTACGGCATATCTGAAATGTCACTGCACACTTTAAGTTACATCTTGAAACAGACCTAGCACCAACTTTCACCTTCTTAAAGCCATAGTTTTACCCATTTTGTTACACCTTGTGGCAAAGTACAATGGAGTGGATTTGATCAGGTGGTCTCCTCAAGGTACAGGTGTTCAGCTGCACCTGGTCTGAACCTGAAACTGGACAGAGGCAAGGAGGCAGAGAGGACCAAGATTCAAAAGGCTGAAAGGAGGGTGCAATGCTGCCCTGGATTAAGAGACAATAGAGCCAGCAGCCATGAGAATGTCAGTTTCAAAACCACACCCTCTGCAGAATTACCAAAGTTTCTTACTTTCATAATTTTCTGGGATACAAACAAGAAAAGTGTGTAGCAACTAGTTTTGTTCGGTGACCAAAAAATTAGCTTATCCTTGTGTTGAAACAAATAGGCTGACATTCCAAACAGCTTACGAAGCAGAAAAGAGAACACTTTGAGTTACAGATTTTCCACACTGAGGAGGTTTTAAGAGTGTTGAGCTATTCTCATATGTACTGTAAGGTTTGCTCTTTTCACCTAGGAGACACAGCAGTTCGAGAGGTGTTTGAGGAGACTGGCATCAAGTCAGAGTTCAAGTCCATCCTAAGCATACGGCAGCAACATGAATATCCTGGAGCCTTCGGAAAGTCGGATATGTACATCATCTGTCGCCTGGAGCCCTCCTCTTTCAACATTAGCTTCTGCCAGCAGGAGTGTGTGAGGTGTGAGTGGATGGACCTTGGTGAGCTTGCTCAGACAAAACTCGCTACTCCCATCACCAGCAATATAGCTAAACTCTTACTGTACGGATACCGGGAGGGCTTTGACAAGATTGATATCACCATGAGAGAGTTCCCTGCTGTCTCTACAGGCCTCTTCTACAAACTGTACCACAGGGAGCTGCCTGAGTCCTATAGAAGCATAATGTGATAGCAATACATTTCACATTTCATTACAGTAATAATTTAGGAGTACTATTATTATTGTAGTGTTACAGAGATCATATCAAAATTATCCATGGATTTCTTTTTAGGTAATTATTAGAAAGTAATTGTTTATTCTCTATCAAGTTATAGAAATATAAATTATTTTTAAAGGTAAATATTGCTGTAAGTGTGCATCAGATTTGTTTTCCTTTACTCTGTAAAGTAAGCATAAGGCAAATAAAACAGCCCTACATAGATAATCTAGCACAAAACAGAAGTATTATTGATCCTGAAAATATCTTCCAAGTAACTCTACCTCCGCACACACTGGCACAAATGGTTTAAAGAGCAATGTAAGACAGGAGGAAACATGGTTTAATCTGGTATTTGCAAAAGTAGTGAATTTCAGCAAATAATTGCTTATGGTTTTGCTATTTCAGAGAGGACCAAGAAATTCGACATCTTCCATGTAATGTGTTGTGTGTGCTCAGAATCTGCCATGGAAATCAGCTTTTAGCTGACATAGGAAGGAAAAGAATAGCTTTCTGTCCAGGTCCAGTTTTTGGTCCAGGTTTGTACTGCCCAGTTCTTTTCAGTGCCACGTACCAATCAGAGTATTTACGGGATCGGTAAGTGTTATAATTATTAGATTCCAGACGCTCAAAAAAGAAACATTCTTCTGTTGCACATTTCTAAAAGGGAAAAAGAAAAGGGTTATTGATATTCTGTCACAAAGCAGTTCTTCAGATTGTTACCAACGACATGAATTAGCAGTACGTTTGGTTTTAAGAAATTCACATTAAATGTTTCATATTTGAAGAGAGATACAGTTACTGTGAAAATACTGTTAAACACACCTGCAAGAAGAGGACTTTTTAACTGTGGTTTGTTGATTGTCTTTGACACAGACCAAGCATATTCTAGTTTGGTTTCATTACGTAACTCTTTGTTCTGATCTGAAATCTAGACAACTCAATGGAGAACCCTGCCCCTTGGCATTTACTGATTTCCAAAGCTCAGTAGTTTTGCCATCTCATCCTAGATTATTATTTAACCAAAAAGACAAGTGGGATGTAATAGAAAAGGCAGCCCTTCCCTTGCCTTCCTCACACCAACCTTATCATCAGTTAGATAAATCCTGTGGTAAGTTGCAGCTTTTACCTATTCTTTTCTAATTTTGAGGTTTAACTTCCCTAAAGCTAATTCAAGTCTGTATTTACAGCACTGGGAAACAGGCTGGTGAGCCTATGTCTGTTCAAGGCTTTTCAAAGCTCAAAGCTTTAAGAAAAGATCTGATCTGGCACAGGTTTCTTCCACAGAGAGACCAAGCATACTCTACTAGTGTTTAGAAGTACATCTGTGAAGTTACTCTACTTCTGGAAGTAAGTTTTCAAAATACAACTCCACCTACACAGAATTAACATGCCTTCACACATGAAAATAAAAGAGGGTGGCTCTTCAAACAGTGGGTCAAAGCTGAGCTGTGGGGTTACAAGAGGAAGTACAGTTTCCCCAGATCATGTGGATTTAATCACTTTTGGACAAGTTGATGGAAAAGAAATTAACTGAAATTTACTGAACAGATAAAACCACTTCCTGGCTGAGAGGGCCCCAAAGCAGAAACTGGCTGGAGGCTGGGAGACCAACACAGGGCATGACTAGGTGCATCTTTTCTTACATGCCACATCTGATCACCATCAGAGAGAAGACACTCACTGCATACAAACACTCAAAAGCCCCCCATAAGTCTGCCATTAACAACTGTAGTGTGGTGTACTTTCCGCTGCTCCCTCGGGGTGACCATACTGGGGGTAAAGAGTCTTCATTTTCAAATGATCCTGTTTCTGTTTGCAAGATAACCTGACACAGGTATTATCTGTCGCAAGACTTTTACACCCAGGTTTTCCTGGATTGTTGTTGCTGCCTGGGGAACTTAAACACAACTGATTGAACTATGGTTACTATTTATAGCTGTTCACAGTCAACTGAAAGCAGGAAAGTTTACTCACTTTCCAAAATCCACCACCAGGAAACCACACGGTTCCTCTGTACTGAAAACATAAGAAGATGTACAAACAGCTCCAAGTAAGATCTCATCCTATAGGAAGAGAAAGACTATCGGTGTTAACTGCAGCTACCCCAAGGCATATTTGCAACAGCAGAACCCCTGTATGTGGACAGTGTTGCTCTTGTAGCAGTCACAGTGGTAAACCTGCCTGCAGAACTGGTGCTTTAAGCAAGAGAAATTATTGTCTCCCATACAAACATGGCAGAAGTTCAACACCACAGGAACTTGCAGGGAACTTGCACACATCCCCCTTCTTTTCAAATACATGGAGCTGGGCACAGAGATCAGATACCTTGCACCTGTGGAAACTACATCTTTACAACCTCCAGCAGGAATTAAATGGCTTTCAGTGCACCTCTGGTGAACTTAAGCAGCCACTATGAAGACACCACATACAGACAGAAGGCAAATTTGCACATCCGTCTCTATGCACTAAATCCACAAAGTAGACACAATGGCAACTCAAAGACGCATCAGACTTATGCATCCTTCCTCATGTCTCTGTGGTTTAAAAAGTAAAACAGATTAAATTCCTCAAACAGGTTTTCAGACAATTTATGAGTGTTATAAAAATAATCAAAATAGGGTGAAAAAAGAAAATGAGAGAAAGAAAAAAGAAAAATTCATCTTATGATCATAAAAATATTTTGAAAGGTGCCATGCGCTTCGCATACGTGACACCAATGTTTTCCTACAGCACATTGCCAATGTAAATGTTTTGGTAAAAAAGTGAATATTTAGGTAACAAGTTATAGCATTGTCACTTAATGCTCAGACTTCATGAACTATGTATTCTTTAGCATCTGCCCAAGGCAACATTTCAGAAGCTGGACTGCTGTCCAGCAGGAGCAGAATGTCCTGCACCCGCCACTGTGAGCCTTGGGCCTGGAAAAGCCCTGGGTATCAGTGGGTTTTAAAATACACTTGGACGTGGAGTGTGGGAGTTTTTAGTGTTAGCAATGGTGGTAGCAGCCATGCTTGTACTAGGGCCTGCTGTGTGCCACCACTTACAGCAGCCAAACTGTAATGACAACCAAAATCCTCGGGTGAATCACACAGGGCAGATTAACTGACCAAAACAAGCATCAACTTCCTGCAACAAGGTTCTTCCCCCCTCATTTGCATGGCCAAATGCCACCCACCAATTGATTCTGCAGTGCAAACCGCATCTGCCTCAGTATCACATTGTGCCAATTGACTACGTTTTGGACTCAAGTTACAAATTAAAATTCCTCAAGATTGTTTACTCTCAAAACTGAAACCAGCGTGTTAACCTGTGACTACCACAGCAGATAGAGTATGGCCCGAGAAAGGTGGTGATAGTATTTAGCCCTTTCTAACTACGAAAGGGCCAGTAAATGAAAGTTATTCTCACAAATATTCTTGTACCACAATTTTAATCCATAACATCAAGAGAGTAGAATTTCCCTTCATGTTTGGCAACACCTGTCTGGTCATAGCAAAACCACATAAGCATGACAGACAGAGCTAACATGTCATACCCAAAATATCAAATTATTTCTTGTGAAATTTCAAAGTTCAATTCTTCCTTTCATGGGGAATTTTGAGAAATGTCTTCATGAAATTAAACAATCAAGCACATTCTGTAACATAACCTGCGGATGAAGCACTCCATAGACAGATAGGAAAAGCCTCACTCTCGCAGGCCCTTGTTCTCATGGGTGACTTCAACCACCCTGACATCTGTTGGAGCGACAGTATGGTCTGGCACAAGCAATACAGGAGGTTCCTCGATTGTGTAGAAGACAACTTCCTTCTGCAAGTAATAGAGGAGCCAACAAGGAGAGGTGCCATGCTTGACCTCGTGCTCACCAACAGGGAAGGGCTTGTTGGAAATGTGACGCTCCAGGGCAGCCTTGGATGCAGCGATCATGAGATGCTTCAATTTGAGATCCTCAGGACAGTGAGAAGAGCGTGCAGCAAGCTCACTGCCCTGGACTTCAAAAGAGCAGACTTTGGCCTCTTCAGGAACCTGCTAAGTAAGGTTTCATGGGATACAGCCCTAGAGGGCAGAGGGGCCCAAAACTGTTGGTTGATATTCAAGTGTCACCTGCTGCAAGCTCCGGAGTGTTGCATCCCAACCAGAAGGAAGTGCAGCAGGAAGGCCAGGAGACCTGCTTGGATGGGTAAGGGGCTCCTGAGGAAAATTCAATTGAAAAAAGAGGCTTATAAAAAGTGGAAGCAAGGACAGGTGGCATGGGAAGAGTACAGGGATGTTGTCCGGAAAGCTAGGGACCAGGTTAGGAAAGCTAAGGCTCAGTTAGAATTAAACTTAGCTAGAGGTATTAAAGATAACAGGAAGGGATTCTACAGGTACATAGCAAATAAAAAACAGACTAGGGAGAGCGTAGGCCCCCTCAGGAAGCTCTCAGGAGAACTGGCTACACAGGATTTGGAGAAGGCTGAAGCTCATAATGACTTCTTTGCCTGGGTCTTCACTGGCAAAGGCTCTGACCAAACCACCCAAGCCTTGGAAGGTAGATGCAGGGACTGTGAGAATGAAGACCTTGCGACCACTGTAGGAGAGGAACTGGTTCGAGACCATCTTAAAAATCTGAACGTACACAAGTCCATGGGTCCTGATGAGACCCATCCGCGGGTCCTTAGCAAATGAAGTTGCTAAGCTGCTGGCCATCATATTTGAAAAATCATGGCAGTCAGGTGAAGTTCCTGACGACTGGAAAAAGGGAAATATAACCCCCATTTTCAAGAAGGGGAAAATGGATGACCCGGGGAATTACAGACCAGTCAGTCTCACCTCTGTGCCTGGCAAAATCTTGGAGCAGATTCTCCTGGAAGGCATGCTAAGGCACATGAAAAACAACAAGGTGCTTGGTGACAGCCAGCATGGCTTCACTGAGGGGAAATCCTGCCTGACCAATCTGGTGGCCTTCTATGATGGGGCTACAGAACCGATGGACAGGGGTAGAGCAGTTGATGTCATCTACCTGGACTTGTGCAAAGTGTTCGACACTGTCCCACACGACATCCTTGTCTCTAAATTGGAGAGACATCAATTTGATGGGTGGGCCACTCGGTGGATAAAGAACTGTCTGGATGGCCGCACACAAAGAATTGTGGTCAATG